ACCCTTTCTGAAGAGGTGGCTTTGGAGTAAACCTTTTATCTGTTTTTTGAGAAGGGAACGAGGAGGGTGGATTACTTAGCTTACTTTGCTCTCTCTTCCTTGCCTGCTTTCTTCTTCTGAGATTTATACATTTTGGAATCAAGCCTAGTTATCAATTCAGACGTAGATGCCACAATGTTTTAACAAGAGAAAACATTTTCTTTTATGCTTGTGTCCTTGCACAAGTATGCCCAGCAGTCAGTGAGCTAATGGTGTGAGCGATGGTCTGTAATAACCAAATCTCCTTACTAGGTTACAATCAAGAGTTCATCTTCTTCTTAAATGTAGAATATGAATGATCACAGTAAATTTTGTTCAAAAAATACAATTTATATGCTTTTTTCCTATCCCCAAAATAGAGACAATGGGACTTCCCAAGAGAGTCATTTTTGTGCTCTATAAGTATTTCAAATGCTGCAGGTGCAGTCTTCAGAGATAATATGGGTTCTGTACTAGTAAATACAATTCCTCGTGTAATTCCCGAGCATCATTCAATAAATACTATGTCGATGCCAAGTCAATATATCAGAAGTGAAAAAGTTTTCTTGGCTCAAGTGTAGGAGTGAAAATTGTACTTCCTTCATATATTGACTTTTATATGGAAACTATATCTTTATTTTTATGCATGATGACAGATCCTTGATGATAGGAAGCAGTGGTGGAAAGTTCGAAATGCAAGTGGAGACTCTGGATTTGTGCCAAATAACATTTTGGATATCGTGAGACCTCCAGAGTCTGGATTGGGGCGTGCTGATCCACCTTATACACATACCATACAGGTAGTTATGACTTCTTAGCAAATGTTAATATTATAAATTTATCACTCTTTAACAGGATTTAACTTTTGTGCATTAATATTTTGAACTTGAATTGGCTATACATGTTTTTCTAGAGTAATTGGGAAAGGCAATGGTGAAGGACACAGGGAAGAATTATACATATGTTTTCTGATTTATTTCCTGGGAAATTGTTCAAAATATGTAGCAGTAACCCTTCTCTGAATGCTTTTCCCCCCCAATCTATAAAGTTTCTGACATTCAGAGAAATAGTGCTTCTGTCTTGTGACCATAGTGCTCCTATCCACCAGTGGCTTCCTGTTGGCAGAGGGTGACACCAAGACAACAGCTGGAGTGTCCAGCAGTTCATCTTCACCAGCCTTTGCCTACTTAAATTTTGTAAAATTCTGTCATAAAAAAATCATCTTTTTTTTTTTTTTTTTTTTT